ATTACTGGATCATTCTACTCATAAATGTGTGTATATATATAATTATACACACACACACACACACACACCACGCATTTTTTTATTTCCTAGACAGGACTGCCACAGGCAAAATAACCGGATATGACTTGATAGCTGTTTTAGGAACACTCAAATGGCAATGGCTGGATGTGGTGGTGTAAGCCTTTAATCCTGGCACTCAAGTGAATTTCTGAGTTCAAAGCCAGTCTTGAACTGGTCTATGTTTCATAGTGAGTTCCGGGTCAGACAGAGCTACACAGAGAAAGCCTCTGTGTCTCTACCACTTTCGTTCTTGGCCCTAATCTCTCCTTACTTATACTTCTGAACTCAGGATCAAATCGTTACATAAAGCTCTTGGAAAGGACTCAAAAACAACAGGAAAAAGAAACCACAAAACCAGGAAGATGCACTCTATCTAGGTAAAGCAGATTATTGTAAAGCCTGCTGCTTTTATTCAACAAATTAAATTTTTAATTTTTTTGGAAAGCATTTCAAAAAAGATTTTATTTTGTGTGTATGAGTGTTTTGCCTACATGGATGTATGTCTGTGTACCATACACATGCTTGGTGCCTGAGGAAGTGTTGAGCCTCCATGTGAGTGCTGGGAATTGAACCCAAGTCTTGCTAGATAGAATAGTAGGTACTCTTAACCACTGAGCCAATACTTCAGTTTCTAAACTTTTAATTTTTAATAGACAGGGTCTCACTATATTGCCCAGGCTAGTCCTGAACTCTTGGGCTCAAACAATTCTGCCTCAGGCCTCTCTAGTGGCTACAACTATAAATGTGTACCACTGTGTGGCACAATTAGCACCATTAATCTAGTAACAATTCCTGATCCCTGCAAATGGCAGTGGGGGTCCACACTCATGTGTGCACTGCAGGGTAAATGAGAACACAAAGGGAAGGAGCCCAGCCAGGTTGCATCACTTGAAATAAATTCAGTCAGGAAAGGCAGAACATGACTGCCAGTCACTCAATTGCTTTTGGAGTGAGTCATTCATTCCTCCAAAGGTTTGACACTGGTGACGGATCTTTTCCAGCCTTCAAGTCATCCACTTAACCCAGGAACTCTGCACTTCCCATCACTGGGTTCTTCCAGGATCATAAAGTTGTGAAGTTGTACATGTACAGATAATCATAAACCTCTCTCTCTACACACACACACACACACACACAGTACTTACAGCAGTATTAGGAGAGTAAGGGAAGGTTTCACTTAAGACTTACAACTCTGAGGCCTTAGAAGCAAAACTCAGTCAAGCAATACAACTGTAGACAGGGAGTCAGGAAAAGAGGAAGTATTCCAAGAGTCTAAGATCATACAGGAGATAAAAGGCCAAACATCCTGTCCATAGTTTGCTCACGTGAGATTATACTTCCTCAACCAGACAAGAGCATCTGCAGCCACACAGGGTTCTTGGTGGTCAGTCAGTAAAATCTTCCATGGGGAGAGACTATGTGGACTCATTCACAAGATGTTACTCTGTGACCATGGTAAGGACAAAGCAGCAGAATAGCTTCATCATCTTCATCACCTTCATGAGAACTCCAGGTATACACAGTCACCATAAAGAGCACTAATACGATCACACAGAAGTTCAGCTTAGGTATTAATCAACGACATGAATATGCAAACTTTCATCTCCATTAGTTATCATTGAATGAAATCTCTTGACTTTCAGTTTGAGAATTAGAAAATGTAAAGAAAGTAACTGAAAGAAGGGAAGCTGATTTAGTTTCTAGGAAATGTAAAACTGATAATGTACTGTGAGACTCCTGGGTTACTATTGTCAATCAAAAGCACGGTGCTTGATTTCTGGAGATCTGATTTTTCCTCTACCCCGCTGGTGACTTCTCTCTTCTGAAAGGATCACAAACACAACAGGAAGCAGAGCTTAAGCCATGTCTAAGTAACATGCAGATCTATTGCCTTTTGCAGTGCAGGGGGAGCAAACCCAGAGTCTCACGTACTAGACAAGTATTCTATCTCCCCAGCCCTGGTTTTCTTAGGAGATAGTGACGCTATTCAGTCTAGACTGACCACAAACTCCCAGGAAGTCACCTTCCTTTTACTTATTTTCATAATAGGTGTTGACGACTGAACCCAGAGCCTTGTGCATGCCAGCTAAGTCCTTGCCCTCTAATAGGTGTGAAGTCAGGGTAAGTGACTCAATTGGCAAAGGCAGTTGCCACCAACTATAAACCTGAGTTAGATCCCCAGAACCCACATTGTAAAAAAGAAACGGCTCCCACAATGTACACTCAGTACATGAGTACTGAGGCATTTGTAAACTCACATAAAATAAATATAATGTAAAAAAAGAAAATGGAGATACTCTTGAGTATATATCCTCAGTGACTATGAAAACTGGTTTATGGGTATATGTCAAAATATCTATTTTAGGGCTGGAGAGATGGCTCAGAGGTTAAGAGCACTGACTGCTCTCCCAGAGGTCCTGAGTTCAATTCCCAGCAACCACATGGTGACACACAATCATCAGTAATGAGATCTGGCGCCCGCTTTTGACCTGCAGGGAAACATGCAGACAGAACACTGTATACATAATAAATAAATCTTTTAAAAAATATATCTATTTTATGCCGGGCGTTGGTGGCGCACGCCCTTAATCCCAGCACTCGGGAGGCAGAGGCAGGCGGATCTCTGTGAGTTCGAGGCCAAGCCTGGTCTACAAAGTGAGTTCCAGGACAGCCTCCAAAACAATACAGAGAAACCCTGTCTCAAAAAAAAAATCTATTTTATATAAAGCAACATAACATATAATCTATAAACAAACACAGTGAACATGTGGTATAAAAATGAGGGGTGACTAGGAACTCTAAAAAGGCTCTTTAGGGAGGCAATTAAACACATAAGAACCCTGCTACAGAGACTCTTGTGAAGTCAAGATGCTAAGTCAAAATACATGGATAAAAACATCATGGTCACGATGTTTCTAAGCAATGTACTTGTTTGGCCTGGGCTTCTCCTAGCCAAGGTCATTAAAATTTGCAAAGAAAAGATTTTGATTAATTTTTAAAAAGACTTGTAAATGATTAAGTTTATAACACACAGAATACAAACCAAAAAAGTAAATTTATTTAAATTACTAAAATAGCTTTTTAAGTTATCTACACATTAGCTACTACAATTATTTTTTTTGCCAGAAAGATATAAGTAATGCATCACTTCAAAATTATTTAAGTCAGTGGAACACTTAATAAAACACTTCCTTTTCCATATGATATGTATGTAAAAAATACTTTTCAAAACTTTTTATAATTCTTTATAAAATAAACCTGATCATCTGACTTATAATAAAGGTACAAATGTTGGTAATCTTCTGGGAAAGAAGTTAGACCACTTTTCCCCATCTACTTTACCATCCAGTGGGTAAAGAAAGGTTGGCTAGTACTCTACAGTATAATTTTCATTTAGATGTCCATGGACAAAAGAACTCAGATCTAGAATTATAAGAGCTGAAGACAAAAGAGCAGTTGACAGATGGGAAAGCAGAGCTGTAAGTGTAAAAGACCCTAAAGTACTATAGCAGTAGAGACACCGGTCCAGTATTTGTCATGTGTGGCAAGGGTCACTCTTTTTAGCTTGAGGCACTCAATAAAACTGATCATGTGCATAGGTTATTTTTGTATTTGTTATGCAGTGCTATTCAAGGACTTAAAAGTACCTATGTACAAGCACAAAATGGAGTCGTCTTCAATAGCCCAGCAGAGAACTGTCTACCAGTTTCTAAAGCTGTCTTTGTGTGTGTGGGGGGGGAGGCAGGGGGTTGGTAAGACAGTATTTCATTCTGCAGCCCATGCAGTCGGCTTGAAGCTCACTATATAGCTAGTGATGACCATGAATTTACAGCAACCCTCCTGCTTCAGCTTCCCAAGCAAGTGCTGGAATTACAGACATGTGTCACCTGACTTAGAAATGTATTTCTACTGCTGGGGAATGTAGTTCAGTGCCAAAGCGCTTGACCAGCATGGGTGGGTCTTAGTTCAATCCCTGGTATTGGCAAAAAGCAAAAAAAAAAAAAAAAAAAAAAAAAAAATCTGAACCATGAAGTTAAGGATGCACTAGAAACTCTTATTTCTTCAAGACAAAAATTGCCAGGTTATAACCAAAGAGACTGCTTTGGATTTACCTAAATTGGTAAGCATCAAATAAGGAAATAAAACTATCACATTTATGCTTTAAAAACTTGGAAGGGCCATGGAATTCTCTTTTCCTGGGGAGTGGGATTGAGATTGGGTCTGATATGATATATACACTACAGGCTGGCTTTGCATTCAAGATGCTGCCACCTCAATTTGTTGAGTGCTGAGGTTACAGGTGTGTGGAATGCTGGTATTGAACCTGGGGAAACAAACAAGCTGGGCAAATGCTCTACACTAACCTTAGCCTCACACCAAGAACCTCTCTAAGTGGGGAAAAAGGCGGAAGTATAAAAGGCAAATTGTAACAGCTCACCAAGGTAGCAGCCTAGACATGCTTGAGTAACCCACCTCTCATGCTTTTCTTTTTTAAAACATTTTTCTTTTCTTTCTTCTCTCTTTTTTTTTTTAAGCAGCGTTTCATGTAGCCCAGGGTGGCAGAAAACTCACTATATAGACGAGGCAGGCCTTGAACTTCTGATCCTAATGACTCTACCCCAAGAAAGTGCTGAGATTACAGGCATCTCTCACCATGCCCAGCTTGCAGCTATTTTTTCCCTTTCTTTTCCTTCTCCGTTCAACAATTTCTCTTCCCTTTCTACCTCCCGAACCCTGTTCTCCCCTCTCCAAAGCCAGCGAGGAAGGGAGGCTAAACAGCCCACTCAGACGATCTTTCATGACTTTTGTCTTTTACAAGTGGAAGGCAAGGATCACACACTTAAATGGTATAAAAGAAAAAGTAATGGGGAAACCATAGCTACAACTAGAGAGCTGTCAGACTAATAAGGTCACAAACAAGCCAACAAAAATATCCAAAGTTAAAAATAAAGCTGATTCTTTGAGAAAGGCACCTAGTCCTTCTCACTGGTCACAGCACAGCAAGAATGATTCAGCCAGAATCAAAGCAGATCCTTGGGGAATTGCATATACTTTAGACCATGCTGAACACTAACATAGTTCTCAATGGAAACAGAGAAATGGTTCTCTCAAATGACAGATAATCAGGCTGCATAAATGATTCAGGTATTCCATGTTTATGTATGAACTTAACTTCCTTTAAAAAGAAACCAGTTCTCAAAAACTGCTCCAAATTCCGTCTCTGGTTAAAGTCTGAAAGCTGTTCAGAACGAGACGTGATTTCCGCTTTCTCCCTCATAAGCAGCTGCCCCCTTTCAGGGCATTTTCCGGCTGCACAGGCAGCACCAGGTGAGAAATGCGGCTCCAGAGACCATTCAGCTTGTCTGGATCCATGTGGTTATAGGAGCTGGCCGTGTTGGATTTGGTGAACTTGACTTTGAGGAAATCTCTCACTTTCTCTTCAATTTCCTTCAGGCCTAGACTGGCTTTCAGTGTCTTCTCCTCCAACAGTACAGTCAGGACTAGAGCTACATCTTTGAAGGCTGCGTTTTCATGGTCACAGTATTTATAGAAGATCAAGGTTGAGCCTGCGGGCAGAGACTCAAAGCGGTGTACCACAGCTGCATTCTGGCCATTTCTAAACCCACTGCTCAGTTCTTGATCTACTTCTTGTTTGACGAGGTCACTGTCTTGAGCAGCTTTCCCTGCCCCATCAATCCGGATGGCACGGACACTCCGGAAGGAAGAATAGGCATCGGCAATTTGTTCACTCAGACACTTGAGCACTTCTTTAGCATCTTGGGCTGCAGTGAGCAAAAGGATGGCAGGCTGGGGCCGAGGGACAGAGCTATTCAGATGTCTTTCTAGGAATGTTGTGCCTCTTTTCCACAGCTTCTCGTCTTGACTCTGGTACTTAGACTGAAGTTGTTTCATCTGGTTCTGGAATTCTTGAACGGCAGTGGTTTCTACTGCAGGAGTATGAAAGAACCAAAATAATCCAATGACAAGGGCGGCAACCAGACCGGCCAGCCACCACTTTCTGTTGACAGAAGATTCACTGTGGGGTTGGTCAGCACGTTCCGCTTGGGGGAGAGAAAAGACACATTACATTTTCTTAGATTCAAGGGCGAGTGATTTCATTTTATTCTGTGTACGTGCATGTGGGTGCAGATGCTCCCTTTGCAGAGGATAATGTAATAGGTCCTCCTGGAGTTAGAGTTACAGGTGACTGTGAATGCACTTAGGTGCTGGAATTAAACTTGGGTCCTCTGCATGAGGAGTCCATGCTCTTCACTACTCAGCTGTACCTCCAGTCCCATACATGACTCAGTCTAGAACTTGGTATGAAGATCGGCTAGCCTGAAACTCCTTGCCTCTGTCTCTTGAGTGCTGGGATGAAAGGTATGTGCCACCATGTCTGACTAAGAGGGAGTAATTTAGTATTTTTTTATTCTCTTCAAGACAGGGTAGCCTGTCTGGAAGTCACTCTGTAGACAAGGCTGGTCTCGAAATCAAAGCGATCTGCCTGCCTCTGTCTCCCAAGTGCTGGGAATAAAGGCATGGGCCACAACTACCCAGCTTAAGAGGAAGTACTTTAAAGAAGGGAGTTGTTTGGTTTTTTTTCTAAAGAAATAAATATACAAACTAAGCAATAGTGGAGAGGCTACCTTAAAAGCCCTTCCCCAATAATGAGCTTGAGGACTACCTTTTATGCCATCCTAGAGCCTTCATCCAGTGGCTGATGGAAGCAGAGGTAGACACCCACAGCTAAACAGTGAACTGAACTACTGGAACCCAGTTGCAGAGAGGGAGGAGTGATGAGCAGAGGGGTCTAGACCAGGCTGGTGAAACCCACAGAAATAGCTGATCTGAACAAGGGGGGAGATCATGGACCCCAGACTGATAGCTTAGAGGCCAGCATGGGACTGTTACAGACCCCCCAAAATTTGGGTGTCAGTGAGGTGGCCTCGGCAATCTATGGAGCCTTAGGTAGAGATCAGTATTTATCCCTGGCATACGAATGGACTTTGGGAGCCCATTCCACATGGAGGGATGCTCTCTCATCCTGGACACATGGAGGAGGGCGTAGGCCCTGACCTGGATGAAATGACAGGCTCTGGAGATCCCCCATGGAGGGCCTCACCCTTCCTGAGGAGCGAAGTAGGGATTGGGTGGGGGGTTGGGGAGTGGAAGGGGGTGGGGGAGGAGACGAGGGAGCTGGGATTGACATGTGAAACAAGCTGGTTTCTAATTTAAATTAAAAAAAGTAAAAAAAAAAAAGGATAAAAAAAGAAATAAATATATATTCTTCAGGAAAAGCTCATAATGTCTAAGTCATGGATAAATACAAATATTAATATTACATATGTTAGAAAGATTATTAATAGTTTCTAAAGAAAAATAATTTAAATATATTTAAATAATTTTTTAAAAATTCAGAATAAAATCTCATAATTTCAGAAGTAAAACTATGCAAGACTCATGAACAGTTTATGATAGTTGGGAAGTAAATAGGGGGTGTTTTATAGAACTGTTTAATTAAAAACTCAGTAATTAGCATGGCTGGCTATCTAGGATAGAATATTTGTGAAGTATATAAAGAAAAGGATTCTATATAAATGAATGCATTCCATATGTTACAACAACAGCTACCTGTCCATGTAAATGAACTGTACTGATACCTATCTTTGTGGCATGCGAGTTGACAGTATAAAACTCTGGCATTGAACTTGTCATTATTACTGAATATAATTATGGTATGATTTTTGTTTAACATGCTTTTCAACTTATATAACATTTTTTCCTAGATCACTTCATTTATCAATAAATAATATACTTGTAATACCACGCCTCCAACTTTCACTGATGGGTTACTTTAGCCTAATATATATACTGGGGATCTTTTAGAGTAGCAATCTCAGGGTGTGGCCGGAAGCTACCTTAAGCAATATTTGGTAGGTGTCCCTCACAAAATTAACAGTAAGATATTTTTGTTTTTTCTGCAGTTATGACACTTGCCCTGATGGGGGAACAGCTAAAATGGGAAAAGCTTCTGATGCTTTAGGCAGGAATTACTGGTGACTAGCACTAAGCTATATTAGCACAGTCACAGTTTTCACTGACAGCATACAAGGCTAAAAATAATTGGGACACCAGGCACTGTGGTGTGTGTCTTTAATCCCAGCACTCAGGAAGCAGATGAATTTCTCTGAGTTCAAGGCCAGCATGACCTACATGGTGAGTTCCAGGCCAGCCAGGGCTATGTAGAGACCCTGTTTCAAAAACATAAAAACAAAAGCAACAACAATAAAAAATTAGGGGAAGGGCTGGTGAGATAGCTCAGTAGGTAAGAGTTCCTGTCCCTAAGCCTGATGGCCTGAGTTTGATCCCCAGTACCCATGTTAGGAGAAAACTGACTCCAGACAGTTGTCCTCTGACCTCCCCACATATACACACATAATAAATACATGTGATCATTTTTAAAGGCAGAGAGGAGGAACCAGTTTCATTAAGACTGTCCTTGATGAAGCAGCTAATAATTTTGTTCTACCTCAGTCCTTGAGCTGGGGCAGGGTATAGCTTGGTGTTGCGTGTCTAGCATGTGTGAGGCCCTCACATGATTCCCAGAACCATAAAAACAAAACTCAAGACCTTTAACCCTGAATACATATTCTCAGTATTCTGTGTGAAGACACACAAATGTCAGCTGTCCAGCACAACGGAAAAGGGCTTTGCAACTGACCTGCAAGCTGAATAACCACTTTTTAAAAAGTGAATGCTATTTTTACTTGAAAAACAAAAAATTACCGCTCTATGGATAGTCACACTTGCATTTCGCAGCTATTTGAAGAATGGAGCAAAGTATGCTGTTACTTTCAGGAAAGCAACTGCCAATATAACATTCAAAATTTCAAGTGAAAATTAGAATTTTGGAAACATTGCTCCTGCCATTATAAATCAATAGCTACCAATACTCAACTTAAAGAAAGTGTGTGTGCACATGCCTACAGGCAAAGGACAGAGGACAACTTGTGGCAGCCGGTCCTTCCCTCTAGCATGTCTATCATGTGGGGCTGGAGAACTGAACTCAGATTCAGACTTGTACACAAGAGCCTTTACCAGCTGAGCCAGCACACTGGCCCAATTGGTTTTTTGTTTGTTTGTGACAGGGTTTCTCTATGTAACAGTCCTGGTTGTCCTGGACTCACTCTGTAGACCAGGCTGACCTCAAACTCACAGAGATCCACCCGCCTCTGCCTCGTAAGTGCTGGGATTAAAGGCATGCGCCACCACTGCTCGCTTTGTTTTTTTTTTTTTTTTTTAGTTTATTATTATTTTTTGGGGTGAATTAGGGCATTGAACTCATGTCAACCCTCCCATCGCTGCTTCACTACAGCAGTATCATCCCTAGTGCTGGAATTACAGGCATGAAGTTCACGCCTGCTAATATTTAACTCTTGAAAGATCTTGAGTTTGATAGTGACACAAACAAATGTTGTCTTTTACACTATATATAAATGTGTCAGCATTCAGAAAATGTTTATGCCATCTGCTTTGTTTCTTGAGAGGCGGTCTTACTCTATAACCATGGCTAGTTTGAAACTCACTTTTGTAGACCAGGCTGACCTCAAACTCATGGATGATCCTCCTGCCTTCCCTTTTGAGTGCTAGAATTACAGGCAGGGATACACCTGGCTATATATACTGCTTTAAAAATGAGACTTCACTCCGTAGCCTAAGCATGATTCTCCTGCTTCAGTTTCCCACCATGCCTAGTAAAATTCTGCATAGCTTAGTGAATCAGTATTTTCTAATAACTAGTGTATGGAATTTCATTCAAATTCTAAGAAATTAAGCAAGATGTGGTAGCACATGCCTGTTATCTTAGCACTTGGAAGGCGGGGACAGTAGCATCAAGAGTTCAATGCCACCTTCAGCTACAAAGTGAGTTCAAGGCCAACATAGACTATATGAAAGCTTGCCTCAAAAAACAAGGAAAAAGAAAAAAAAACACCAAAAAAGGAACTAGAAACACAACTCTGAGAATTTTAATGCAAGAGCATCAAAAAATTCATTAACATTTTCTGATTTCACATTTCAGACTACACTTAAGAAACTACCATTTTTCCTCTTTTGCCCATCCACTTCTGCCTCCTTCATCCTTCCTAAGCACTTATTTCCACATCCCCTTTCTAGTGTTTTATGCTTTATCCACATTTATTTATACGCACATATAATATGCATTTAGGTATATTATAATCTACACACATATATACTTACACATTACAGGCGGGAATCTGCATATTATACATCTGAATAAAATGCCATTGTGTACATATACCATATTCTCATTATCCATGCTAGCTAGTCCTACTTTCTTGCTGATGTCAATGGAAAAGCATTGAGCACAGATGGATTTACACGTGTCTCTGCGGTAGGACACAGTACTGTGGCTGTGTGCCCAGGAGGTATAACTGGGTCATATGGCAGCTCTTTAATTTCTGGGAACCCTCCATACTGATCTCATAAGGGCTGTGCTAGTTTGTACTGCCACCAGCAGTGAATAAGGTCTCTTTCCATATTCTCACTAGCATTTACTGTCCACTATTTGATGTTGAAGATACAAGACAAGTCCACAATTCCATGAAAAGACTTTTAAAATTCTTCATATTTGAACAATATTCTTGGCTATGTAAATATAGAAGTAGATGTGAGAATCCAACTAAAGTATATTAGAGATTAATTTCTAGGTAAATATGAATAGGTTTTACCCACTGTTTTTTTTTCTTCTTAAAGCACCTCAGGAAGTTAAAAATAAACTATGTGATCCAGCAACATCATTGCTGGGAATGTATCTAAAGAGATGTATTCAATATGTGGAAGAAACCTCTGTATCCCAGGTTCACTAGAGCAATGACTCATAACTGCCAAGCAATGGAGACAACTTTAATGTCCATCAACTCATGAGTGGATAAGGTAAACCATCCATAAAAGAATCCTGCCATTTTTCAATTAATTAAAACACTTTTGGCATACTTTATCAATGAAGAGAGATTAAAAAATGGCCTCCATTTGTCATTTTACCCATCTACCACTTGCCTGCAGTAACTTTTGCATGGACAACTTTTTTTTGTTTTGTTTTTTTCGAGACAGGGTTTCTCGGTATTGTTTTGGAGGCTGTCCTGGAACTCACTCTGTAGACCAGGCTGGCCTCAACTCACAGAGATCTGCCTGCCTCTGCCTCCCGAGTGCTGGAATTAAAGGCGTGCGCCACCAATGCCCGGCTTGCATGGACAACTTTTGAATGGTCTTCCTTGTGTTTATTAACAGCTTCAACTTGAGAAGCACTGGATTAGACCAAGGAATAAAGTTAGCACTGCTAAGATACAGATTGAGAATCACTAGTAATTTCTTAGTACTCACTATTCAGGGTAACAGGCTTCAGGGATAAAAATCTTCCTCAAGGTCATATACAAAGTAACTGCTCCCATTTATTTCTGATGGCGGCACTTGCCTCCATCACACTATGAGCCGCCTTTCTGCTAACCCAGTATAATTTGGTCTGCTAATGGTAATAGTTGTTTACTTAGTAACAAATTAGTATTACGTGTGTGCACAGGCATGATGAGTGGGTGGAGCCTGTGCATGGAGGTGAGAATAGAACTGTGGAGTCACTTCTCTCCTCTGCCTTGTCATGGGTTCTGGAAACTGAGACCAGGTGATGAGGCTTGTATAGTATGCTTTTTACCCACTAAACAATCTCTCCAGCCTAACTTATCAACTTTGATTTTTGGTATTATGAACAATAAAATCAAGAGGAAAGTACACATTTCATATAGTTTGCCTACATAGAATTTCACTGCTGATAAAACATGTACTTTTTCCATAGAAGTGCTTATATGATGCCTTAAATATCATTAGGTCACACAGCTGTCAAAAAATGTTTTAAAATCAATACGGGCCACCAAGTTTTGACTTACTTAACAAATAGATAAACTTACGTTGGCTGGAGTTTGATGAAGATTGGCTTCCAAACTCTGATTCCTGAATGTTGTTATCTAAAATAAAAAATAATTTCAAAAGACCATTAATTTTATGTTTTATTTCCATTAGAGAAAGAAAATGCAAATTCTACCAAAGGCAGCATTGGTAGAAGGTGGAGGCAGAATATCCAAATGCCTGTTGCACTGAAGGCCCTTTCGTAGTTAATCCCAGCAACACTGACCTAGCACAGAGTGAACATTAAAAACTCAGTGTTGGGAGAAAGCCTTGCAGCTTACTTAATAGGAATGGAAACCTCTGGGACAAAAGTAAAAAGAAAGAAAGAAAAAAAAGGACACCATAACAACAGCACACAATCATCTGGAAAATGAGCATTTACTAATTGCTGCCTGGTGAAGATGCTGTAAAGAGAAAGAAACTATAGATTATGGATTACCTAAAGTGCCTGGAATAAGGTATTTCCATATAAAACTCAATCTTAAATCCTCATTATTTTCTCAGCAACCTCACTGGTATGGCCTCATTTTGCCATTTTGCCCATCTACCACTTGCCTGCAGTGACTTTTGCATGGACAACTTTTGGATGGTCTTCCTTGTGTTTATTAACTGCTTCAACTTGAGAAACACTGGATTAGACCATGAAATAAAGTTAGCATTGCTAAAATACAGAAATTGCCTCTGAGTCACATAACCAAAAACCAGAAACAAAACTGAAACACTCAACAACCAAGTAAGACAAAATGACATCATGCTAACTGCAAGAGCCATACTGTTTTTCAATTACTAATTCTGCTGAAGAAACTTTATTAGAAACTTCTAAATTATGCCATGAAGTTACAATTGCATTACTAAAAACCAAGCAATAAAAAGTTCCAAATACATCATGTTCATCTTAAATACCTTATTACATGGCTGCAAAGATCAAACGGAATACATGACAGTGGTGTGATGGTCTACTTTATGATGGATACAACAAATAAGTTTTAAATATATATCATATACACTGCGTACTTAGTCCACAGATCACAAGAATACTTTTAGGTCTGCTATGTATAAACTGCTGAGTTAGGACACAGCCTAAAAGTTCAGTTCTACCTCTCTTACTAGAGGCAGTAATCACTAGAGCTGAGTAAATCACTAGTGGTAGTAAAACCTTGAAGATCTATAGACATTCTCAAGCCTGAAGACTATAGCAGCAAGCACTCACTCCATAAACAGTAGAGGGCACAAACCCATCACAGTTATTGATTCGTACATAACACAAATAAACATTAACAGGTATGTGATCAGACTTAAAACTTGTGTTTAATGTAGAAGACTTATCACAGTAACTGAGCTAAAGGCACAACTGTCTCTAAAGGTAAAAAAGTCAAGTGCAGGAAGTGGGAATTAGAACAAAGTGCTCTAATGCTAAGTCTGTGTCTGCATTCCCATTTTTGAGAGGCCCCAAAACATGTTTCAAAGATCTAATCTCTCTAGACAACGTTTAAGCTGCTTGATCACAAGGTAAACAGAAAGAAGTGTGGACAGTGATGCAGACAGAACCTCAGCTGGGACCTATTACACCCAGGGAACTGCTGTGAACAGGAGATGACAAAGGAAATCAAAGTCCCAGGTTCTGAAACCCTTGTATTTAAAAATACCCCACCACAGCAGACAGAAATGTGTAACTAACAGAAGGGTATGACATTTAGAATGCTAAGAGAAATATGAAAGAGAGAGAATCATCCAAGCATGATGGTGCACACCTATGACCCCAGCACTCAAGAGGTGGCAAGAGGAAAAGGCTAGTGTTGGCTACGTGAGACCCTATCCAAAAACCAAAAAGTAGCAGCCAAAAAACACCCAGGAAAAAAGTTTAAATAATTATCTTGGCCTGAAGAGTGATCCATGAAGGCTGTTACAAAATCACGATAGACTTATTTCACCATTAGAAATATTTTCTTCCTTTGTTCCATTGTTAAAGAATTAATAATCTTCCTTCTCCAATCGGCCTAGGTATGAGCCCAGCCTATCTTCAAACCTCCAACTTCAGGAGCCTTGATTATAGGCATGTACACTATGCCCAGCTTAATGTAAGTTTCTTGTATGCCATCTTTCTATAAAACACTCAAAGTTCAACACAACACTGAGATATGGCAGTTACAAGTACTTAAGTCATAATAAATATACTAATGTAAGATGAAGTAGGAGTGCCGGGCGGTGGTGGCGTACGCCTTTAATCCCAGCACTCGGGAGGCAGAGGCAGGCGGATCTCTGTGAGTTCGAGGCCGGGCTGGACCGATAGCCTCCAAAACAATACAGAGAAACCCTGTCTCGTAAAAACCAAAAAAAAAAAAAAAAAAAAAAAAAAAAGAAGATGAAGTAGGAGTGTAAACATAAAATGCTAAAAGTTAGCTACAAATTTGGTGACAAAAAAATGCTAAGCCAGTCACGGTGACTGTTTACCCCAGTACTTGGGAGGTAAAAGCATGTGGATCTTTGTGAGTTGCAGGCCAACACATTCCATACATGCAAATTCAGGCCACCCAGGGCTATACACAAAAGACAAAAGCAGCAGCAGCAGCGCAGCACTACATCTGCATTTCAAACCATGTTCAACATGATTATGTTTCCTTTTGCAATGAGCAATGCCATAGAGAAAATAAAACCTTAAAAGGGGTTGGAGAGATGACACTGAGGTTAAGATAACATGTACTACTCTTTCAGAGGAGCAGAGTTCAAATCCCACATCAAGTGGCTGGCTCATAATCACCTGTAACTCTAGCTCCCAGGGGATCTGTCACCCTCCTCTAACCTCTGGAGGTCGTACTCATGTGAGTGGCACAGAGATGCTGTCTCTCAAATTTGAAAGAAAAAAAAAAAGATTTTTATTTTAATTTTTTTGTTGTGGTTACACATTAATTCTAATAAGCTGAATAATTAGTATTTGGTTTCCTAAGTATAACAGGCAATGGATAACAAATTGCAACAGGAAATGTCTCCTAATATCAGACATACACAGTATTAAAAAATAACAGCCAACAACAAGGCAAGAGAAAAGGGCATTTCCGTTTTATTTTTAGGCAACTAAATAACTCATTTAAGTGTGGAATACAGCTTACTGGTAAGCTAAAGTGAATAGGAATCATTAGAGATTACTTTGACCAATTATTGTCAGTCATCCTATGAGCAAAAGACAAATAGGGATTTTTATATAATCTAAACAAACGGGGACAAGAGGAACTGTCATTGGATGGAAAAAAAAGGGGACAGAATTCCTATAGTGTCACATGCCTATAATTCTAACACTTGAGTACTTGAGTAGCTAGAACGGGATGATGGAGTTCCAGGCAATGTGGGCCATATAGTGAAATGCCGTCTCAAACCACCAAAACAAATGGTATGGTGTGGAAGGGAATAGGAGCTAGGCATCATTAAAGGCAGAAAACAGAACTGACATTTTTATACAGCTAATATAGACATAGTCACTAAAGCCTTTTGTTTTGCCAGCTTCCCAAATGCTGAAACTACAGGGTTTGCCACACTTGGCTTGATGGCTTGCTTTACTTTTGTTGTTCCCACTCTGATTGAACCCAGAGTTTTATGCACACTAGCCAAGTACTCTATCACTAAGCTACATCTGTTCAAAGTATGGTCATTTCTTCATGTCAATTTACACGTATTTCTTACATCAGCGACATTTATCCTACCCTAAACACGATCATGAAAATACTATTGGTGAATTTCAGCCTTTATGAAATGAAATAAAGGGCAAAGAAGGTTGCAGTAGAGTGTTTATCTACATGGAGTCTACAAAAACACACACACAGAGTTATTAGAAGAGTACAACTTCATTATTATGTACAAACTGCTGCCTGCTAGAGCTGGTAGCTTATGAGGCCGGAGAGTACCACCCACCTGTTTTCTCAAGCACTTTCTATACTGCACTGGCATTGCAGATGGCACTCTAGGAGCCATAGCATAGCTGATCTTTATTCCTTATCTGAAGAAGTCAGTGTTTGGTATATTAGATATTCAACAAAAGCACAGCAGAAAAAAGAGGCATCTACTTACATGGCAGTCGAGCTCTCATTCTTATGACTTGTTCAACCCACTCCTGAGCATTTCTTTGACATCTTGAGTCTGAAGCAAACACATGTATAAAACCATCATTTCAAATACTTTCTAAGTTTACACCATAGTCAATATTATATAATAAATCTAACAGAAGGAGGGGGTAGGGAGGAAAACATCAAAAGTAAAAGGTAATTCATAGGTCAGGTCAGTGAAGACAAAAGCCTTCCCGTAACAAAAACCATAATCATTCACCAGACCAAACTACGTTGTATGTCTTTACTCTGGTCTCTACAACTGAGTTCAAAACTACCCTATTGAATTCTAATTACATTTAAGAAGAAAAGTTCAGCATGTACCCTACAAGTAAACCACTGAGGCTAAAACAGTCCTGAACAGAGTGTCACATCACAGAGTAATTATTATAGAGTACTGTGTGATGGATTTAAAGCTGAGGTGAAATGATTTAAGATCATATTAGAACTTTATTTATCTATTTATTTGGTTTCTTGAGGCAGGGTTTCTTTGTGTAGCCTTGGCTGTCTTAGAACTTGCTCTGCAGATCAGACTAACCTTGAACTCAGAGATCTACCTGCCTCTGTTGGGATTAAAGACATGTGTCACCACACCTGGCTGTGTAAGAACTTTTTATGGGTTGAATAAGGCAGGAACAGGGCTGACTGAAATAGATAATATATTATCAACCACTTACTCAGCACTGAAGGCTGATTCTCATGAGCTGTGAAGTCCTGACCTAAAACAGAAAATAGAAGTAAGGTCAGAGAACACTGGGAAACAAAAATAAAAAGACGTTACATAGACATTTCACTTATCTACCAGGAATGCTATAAAGAAACTAAATTCTACCCTTAGGTCAGTAAACACACAATAAAAATGCTTTTCCCTTGGTTGTGAGCTGTGCACTGCGGTGCTGGGTACTGAAGTCTGGTCCTCTGCAACAGCAGCAAGCACATTTAACCACCCAGCCACCTTTCCCATCTTATTTTTCCCTTCTTCCTTCCTTCCTTCCTTCCTTCCTTCCTTCCTTTTTTCTTTTTTGTTGTTGTTGTGTTTTGAGACAGGGTTTCTCTGTAGCTTTGGAGCCTGTCCTGGAACTCACAGAGATCCTCCTGCCTCTGCCTCCTGAGTTCTGGGATTAAAGGCGTACGCCATCACTGCCCAGCATTTTCCCCTTTTTCTAAACCTAAAAGTACTTAGAATTAGATGATGACAACACATTAGTGTGTGTGAGGCTTCATTCCCAGCACAGAAAGGGAGAAAAAAGAGCCAGTCAACCAAACGAGCAGGCTGTGGTGGTCTGAGTGCTATGTTCCCCAGAAGCCTCTGGTGACATTTAATACTTAGTCCCTGTTGGGTAGCCCTAGCTAAGTGGCTTTGTTGGTGTGCCACTGGGGCAGGTTTCAAAAACTTTGTGACATTTTGTGTATGCTTTCATGGCTTCCTGCTTGAAGTCTGAGATGTGAGCTCTGAGCTACTCCTGCTGCCATGTCTTCACGTTGCCATCATCGACTTTTAACCCTCTAGAACTGGTGACACAGATCTATAATCCCAGCTACTTAGGAAACTGAGACAAGATTGCAGGTTTAAGGCTTGCTTAGGCAACTCAGTGAGACACTGTCTCAAAACAAAAAGTAAAAGTAGGTGTGTGCATGTGTAAAAATAAAGGACATATGTATACACACACACACATTCTCTCTTTCATCAAATAAGAAGCATTTTTTTTTAGAAAATTGTGCTTAAGGCTATATCTAATAATACATATTAAGTTGATAGATTTTCATTTTATTGATGTTAAAAAATGGCAACTCAGGGGCCGGAGAGATGGCTCAGAGGTTAAGAGCACTGGCTGTTCTTCCAGAGGTCCTGAGTTCAATTCCCAGCAACCATATGGTGGCTCACAACCATCTATAATTCAATCTGGTGCCCTCTTCTGGTATGTAAGCAGAACACTGTATATGTAATAAATAAATTAATCTTTAAAAAAATGGCAACTTAGATTCAATGCAAATTTTCAATATGGAAATGTAGAAGGGAAAAGAAGTTCTTGACTATTTACATACAAGTACATTTGAGTTGATTAATAATTTAAATACTGGGACTTGATTTAATAATAGACAAAGAAAAATACCATTATTTTGCTTAACCTAAGAAACATATTCATTACAGATTATCTGCATAGAAAATAGTAACAACTGGCCGGGTAGAGGTGGTGCACGCCTTTAATCCCAGCACTCAGGAGGCAGAGGCAGGCAGATCTCTGTGAGTTTGAGGCTAGGCTGGATCGACAGCCTCCAAAACAATACAGAGAAACCCTGTCTCGTAAATACCAAAAAAAAGAAAAAAGAAAAAAAGAAAAAAAAAAAGAAAATAGTAACAATTAAGAAAATTGTTGAACTGGGGTATAGCAAAGTGATACAATGCTAGCTTAAAAAGTACTAAATAAAAAACAAAACAAAACAAAAAAACCGGTTCTACCCTCAGTACCCTAAAAAGAATCAAAGGCAAATGTCACTAATGACCACTGTTACCTGAACCTTAAAATACTACTTCCAATATTTTATATCCTATCATCTCAACAACAAATATGAAAAATTAAAAGCAATTGATGTTATAATGTAGGCGAAGACACATGACAAAACACAGAGAGCAAGGGTTTGACTTCCCACAGAGACTTTAAACTTGCAGACTACTCACTCTGTGGTAAACTCCAAGATGGTTCTTGATGGTAATTAGGGGATACGGTGACTTCATCTAAAAACAAAGTGTTTAAAGCATCATTTTTAAGTGTTCATTTTGTAGGAGAACAATGAGTATTTATTCAAAAGAGTGAAACATTTAAACTACAGGGAATAACCTGGAGTGCAAAATGTTTTTTAAAAAATTCTCAGCCTGAAGAGTGTATCACCACACATACATTCTTTTACGTAACACGAAAGCAGAAGGAAGGACTATTTGCAAGGAGGAAAGGATCAAGGTAAGTGGAGGTGCAAAGACTTGCTGAGGACTGGACTATCAACATTCCATGGGGGGGGGGTCATACCTCGAAGAAGGACCTAGTAGGCAGTTAACAGTTGCTGGGGAAGGAAAGTCAGATTCTTCAGTGGTGTAGGCACTGGTAAGTTATCTTTGCCCAAAAAAAATAACCTCTCATCCGCTCCTGCAGGCAACACTACACTTATATACAGAAAAGGTAGGAAGGGGACTTGTTGGGAAAAGCAGAAGTTTAACAGGAGGCAGAGGGAGATGAAAGAGGGTATTGAGGAGAATATGATCAAAGATCATCATATATGTAGTGTATCTCTTTAATGCCAGCACTACTGTGGACAAGGGTAGGACTGAGGCAAGAGCATCAATAATTTAAGGACAGCCTGTGTTATACATCACCTCCTATCTAATAAAGTAAAAATAAACCTCTCTAAGCAAAAAACAGAATAAAAAAAAAGGAGGGTAAGTAAGGGGAAGTGATATACAAAATAACAAATGCTTGCAAGCCAGCTTTTAAACTTTAAATTTAAATTGGGGCTTCCCACCCAAATGCTAGGCAAGCCCTCTACCACCAAGGTTTGTCCTCAGTCCCATGAGCTTATCTTACGTTAATTTTTGAGATAGGGTCTTATGATACAGACCCCACAGAATTCCTGACTGGCCCGAAACTCAGAGATCTACTTGCCTCTGCCTCAAGTGAGTGCTAGAATTAAAAGTGTGTGCCACTACACTAAGTCCTGAGAGCTTATCTTAAATGTAAAAAAAAAAAAAAAATGATGATGCAAATCATGAGAATTATAGAGATTTCCATGAGACAATATTTCTGTGGAACTAAAAAAGTTACCCATTTACCTGTGATGTCTAACATGGTTAAGAATTAAGAATGCTATAAGTTCCTAAAACTGAACTATACTCCTCAAACTGTTGAACACCAATGCGATCAATTTCTCAAAATTAAAAAATAGGCAGTAGTTCTTGAGAATAAAAATATCTTTCCAGAAATATTCAAGCAGGCTAAAAGTGCTCTATTCAGCTACATGTTACATGGCACATTACTAATAGCATGTATACAATGTAGGGAATAATTACAATGTACTAAAAATGTAACTTTAAAAGATGATTTTTAAAAAGTTTCAGAGGCTTAAAAAGGTACTTAAAACTAAATTTTAACTAAAAGATGGTTCTGTGAAAAGAGTTACATGTATATAAAGCAACATTACCTCTACATTCAACAGAATTCCTGGATCTGACCTTGATAGTGGTGTCACTGTAGGAGCTCTCTAGATCATCTTCAGTTTCTCCTAGAAGGAAATAGACAATGCACTAGTACAGACTTATGCTAATGCTCAAAAGATCTGCATTAAACACAGGTTAGAGTTAAAGCATCTGAGTGTCCAGTACACAGCTGCTGTCTGTTTACTGCACCTTCCATTTAGAATAACGAAGTTCTAAATGAGCTACAGTTGAGCTCATGTGTTTGGTGTTCTTTCAGCACATAATTTCTTAAACAAATGTCTAAAAGCTATACACTGAGGCTTTAATGAAGAGTCCAAAATGAATAGATGATCAGGAAATAATTGGAAATTTTTAGCTTATGGGAAGAAACTACATAGAAAACTGGCTGTGTAATTTCAGACATGACTAGTGTAGGCCTGCCCGTAAGTGGTTTTTTCCATGGGTAATGTTCCTACACTCACAACATTTCATTACCCAAACTAATTAATTACTAATTTCACATTATATTGGCTTTAAAATGAACTAAATTAGATGGGTGGGAGTGGCACATGCCTTTAAACCCAGTACTCTGTGAGTTCAAGGCCAGCCTGGTCTACACAGTAAGTTCCAGGACAGCATGAACTGTTACATAGACAAATTCTGTCTGGGGGATGGAGAACAAAAAAAAAAAAAAAAAAAAGATGAACTAAATTTGTTTGCATTTTTCATAAACTAGCCATAAAAATTTACAAAGTGATTGTTTTACTATCACAATCAAAGACAAAAATATGCTGAGAAGTGGAAAATACTAGCCTTCCTTAAAATTGAACAAATAAAGATGTTTAAAAGTATGTAAGGGCTTTCCTTACTCATTCTATCCAAACTACCTATCCTGGTTTATCTTGATGGCTCACTGGTGGATTTTTTATTTTGTTTTGTTGTTAAGAAAAAGACTGTTTTCTGCTCTTCCTCTTAAATACTTTTCAAAACTGCTTCTAATATAAAGGATGGCTGTATAGACATGATAGTTAAAAAGAAATTACCTTCTTCAGAGAAATCGACTGGGTGAATACTGACAGCTTCTAGAAGAGAAAGACAAAGTACATACCATCAGAAACTAAAGCTTAGGAATAGTAAGAGCACATGACTAAGGAAAAAACAAAATACAAAACCCTTTTTCCTGTAAAATGACTAAGGATATATCATTTTCTTTTGGTTCTTTCAGAAACAAATCTGACATAAACTCATATTAGAAACAAATGTTTTTATTAAAATATAAATTCATATGCATCTGTGTCACATGTGTGCAAAAACCATGGAGTTGGTATTTGTAAGCCACTTGTCTTGGGTGCTGGAAAGTGAACTCAGATCTTGTGTAATCGCTCTTAACCACTAAGCCGTCTCTCCAGCCCCAAATAAAGGGCATTCATTTTATGTTTTTGAGATGGGGTCTTACTGTATAGTGCTGACTGGCCTAGAACTCACTATGTAGTCCAGACTAGCCTTGAACTCACAATGATCCACCTGCCTCTTGTCTCTGAAGTGCTAGGATTCAAGGAGTATACCACCATGCCTGGTAGGTTTTTAGCTTTATAAAACATGTACCTTTAAAAAGATTTCTTTTTACTGATGTGCTTGTATACGTGTGCCCGAGAGGCCAGAAGGGGGCATCAGAGCCCCCAGAGTTGAGATTGTAAGCTGCCTGACATGGGTGCTAGTGAACTCAGGTCTACTGGAAGAGCAAAACACTCAACTTCAGCACCAATCTCTCCAGTCCCACGGCTTTAATTTTTGTGACAGAATCTTAGATAGCCCAGGATAACCAGCGAAGGTTGGCTTTGAACTTCTCATCCTACTATATGTATCTCTTGAATGCTGGTATTACAGCATATAGAACTATACCTGTCATAGGCCTGTTTGTACTCTAAATGTAATGTGTCCAGAAAACATTAAATTGTACATTGACAAATATTCTAGGTTCCAACAAGTTGCACAGGTTTACACATTTTAATTCTATTTGCCAGATTCCTCTGCTTACTTTAAACAAACAAGTCCCTGGTGTACTAGTGTGACAAAGAGGAAGTATGAACTGTTGTTCAGGAAATTTAAAGATAAACAACCATAAATGGGGAACTGAAAGATAAACAACCAAACACATCAACCAAACTTAAAACTCAGGATTTACACATGGCCTAATATGAAAGACTTTTTGCTTTAAGTTATTTCTTTTTCCTTTGAGACAGTTTGTCTTTTCCAATAAAGGAAGTTACACCCAAATATTAGCATAACTGGGTAAAAAATACTGAGTAAAACTCTAGAGGATTTAGGCTGACTCAGACTTTAGCAAAGCTGGGAGAATATTTCTTTTCAGCTTTTATCTCCACCTGCTTTTTTAAAGGGCACAAAAGCTATCAGCATCACAACAGAGTTATTTATGCCAAACATAAGCAAAGTAGACTGACAGCCACGAGAAGGTTCCTTGAATGTGTGGTTATGATAAATACTGTAATAATGAGTCTGAAAACACAAGCTTTCAGATTAGTCACTTTTCTTCCTTTTTTGCGGTGCTGGAGACTGAAGCTAAGGTCTAGTACATGGCTAGGCAGAGCACTCTATAAATGATTCATACCTGCATCCTGCCTCAAGTTCCCAACTAGATACTTTCTATATAGTAGCCACTGACTCCCGCAATACTTCCTGTAGCCACTGTGGTTTATTTAAAAACAGCTTAGGTTAACTTGTCTTTCTTTCTTTTTTTTTTTTTTCTTTTTTTGGTTTTTCGAGACAGGGTTTCTCTGTGGTTTTGGAGGCTGTCCTGGAACAACTTGTCTTTCTTTAATTAGCTTTTTACCTTGGATGTATGGGTCTGCCATGATATATGGCTCTTGAATTGCAACCTAGTTGCAATTCTCCAATAAATTTTCTTTTGGAGAGTTGGTTTTCATGTTACTCATTTTAGGCTGACATGTGGAAGTATGATTTCAGAAAGTGATTTTATTTTATTTATTTTTTTTTGGGGGGGGTTTGTTTTTGTTTTTGTTTTTTTTTTGAGATAGGCTTTCTCTGTGTAACAGCCCTACCTGTCCTGGAATTTGATCTGTAGACCAGGTTGGCCTCCAATTCACAGAGATCTGCCTGCCTCTGCCTCCCGAGTGCTGGGATCAAAGGTGTGTGCCACCACTGTCCGGCCAGAAAGTGATTCTAAACACTGTATTATGAATTTGGAATTTTTTCACATAAATTTAATTAGGTTAGTTTATATTACTCAAAGTTTGAGTTCTACTGAAAACAGTGGGAAGTATAAATCAGTTTCTAAAATGTATTTGTCAGTATTTTTGCTAGAAAACAGACAACCAAGCACTCTGAGAAACTTGCCAATAACATCACACTTCTCTCAGAGAGCTAAAAGTTGGCACAGTACATGCTGTGGACCAGGTGCCCCATTATTGTTCCTTCATTTTCTCTTTTAAAGAAGTAAATGCAAAGTTTCTGGGTGTGGTGCTGCACAACTGTGATTCCAGCATTCAGGATGGCTAGGACAGAAGAATCACCACTGAGGCTGTCCCAGCCTAGGCTACATAGTAAGACTAGCTCAAAATAATTCTGTCTCTCCCCCCCTCTCACACACATGCAGTTTGGGACAACCATTAAAATTTTACCTCCATTCTGAATTACAGGAAATCTTTTATTCTTTAAATTTTGTTTAAAGTTTAAAATTAACATTTTATTTGTTGAGTGTTTGTGCTGTGATCGGAGGACAAGCTGCAGAAGAACACATCATGTGGGATCCAGCAACTGAATTCAGGTTTTTAGTGTTGGCAGCAAGTCCAGTACCCCCTGAACCTTCTCACTGCCCCCTTACATTTTTCCTTTCTTTCTCTCTTTGAGTCAACCCACAAAGCTCTTCTTGTTTCTGACTCCTGAGTGCTAGGATTAAAGGCATGTACTAGCATGCTCAGCTTTCAAATTTTATTTTCAAATTACTAGACTATTACAGTATTTTACTCTTTGTATAGCAGTTTTAATTTAGATAAAATTATTCAGATAGCACACATGAGCCTTCATGCTTGGCTTATTCTTTGTGAACTAGTTACTATATAAAAACTTTTATAAAAGATGAATTGGAACTAGGTATGGTGATTCATGCCTTGTAATTCCAGGATTTGGAGGCAGAGGCAAGAGTATTACAAGTTCTAAGTCAATCTGGGTGATAAAGGCTGTGTCACAAAATAAAAAACTAAACTTGTTTTTTAATCTATAATAAAAAAAGGGTACATTGAATATTTTGTCATATTTTTCATGACAGGGTCTGGCTATATAACCCAGGATGGCTTCAAACTCATAATTCTCTTGTCTCTTTTTCCCTTCATTACAGGTGGGAGCCGCTGCCAACCCAGGCTCCTTTTTCTTAAAAAAAAAAAAAAAGTTGAACATTGTTTACCTATTGTCTGTCTGAAGAGCTTTCCTTTAGAATTCTATCAATGTTATCAACATTCTTAAATATTTATCAACAGCATTCAAGACACCAATTGATAATTGACTATACAAGGTTATTTTGATCTCATCACTTGAAAAAAGCCAGTATTAGAGGCTGGGTGGTGGTTGGCGCACACCTTTAGTCCTAGCACTTGGGAGGCAGAAGCAGGCAGATCTCAGGGAGTTCCAGACCAGCCTGGTCTACAGAGAGAATTCCAGGACAGCCAGGGCTACACAAAGAAACCCTGTTTCAGAAAACCAAAATCCAACAACAACCAAAAAAAAAAAGAAAAAAAGAAAGAACAAAGCTAGTATTGGGCTGGCAAGATAACTCAGTTACCACCAAGCACCAGGACCTGAATTCCTTTCCTGTAGCCCATATAGGGGAAGGAGAAAAAAAAAGAAAGAAAAAATGACTCAAGTTGTCCTCTGACCTCTATATTCTTCCCCCTCTCCTTTCCCCTCCCCCCCACAGCAATCCTTATGTTGTCACTGAGAATATTATTCTACACATTATTCAAGGCCTCCAATAAAAAGATCATTAACATAGTTATCAATATCGAAGAGTTGTACCTCCTTCAACGCATGATCTCTAAAGGCAAAATAATGACGCTTGTCCCAAGGCAGGTTGCAATATTTGCAAGTCTCTTCCCTGCCTTTGCTTGCTATTTGTGTTTCAAATTCCATTCAAATGCCTTCCCGACTTAAAAAGCTGAACCTCTCCACGTAGGGTATTTTTCTTCCATATTCTACACAAACTGTTAAAACAACTTGTAAAGTTACGACTATTTTTCATTTGAGTTAGTAGCCCAGGCAGGTCTCATATTCACAACCCTGCCCAACCTCCTGATTTTTAATCTTGTTTTTCCTTTTCATTACTTAACATACTTCTGAGATCCAGACCAAAAAAAACAAAAAACCACCTCACAGCCGGGTGTTGGTGGCGCACGCCTTTAATCCCAGCACTTGGGAGGCAGAGGCAGGTGGATCTCTGTGAGTTCGAGGCCAGCCTGGTCTACAAGAGCTAGTTCCAGGACAGCCTCCAAAGCCACAGAGAAACCCTGTCTCAAAAAACCAAAACAAAAAAACAAAACCAAAAAAAACAAAAAACAAAAAACAAAAAACCACTTCACAGCTCTTTACGGTGCTAGCATTTAGGTCAGTCATTGACATCGGAAGTGGTTAAAAAGAAGTTTGTTCATACATAGCAACACAAGAAAAGCGGCCTGAGGCGAGTCCTCACTAATTAAGGGGTCATATGAGGGTTTAGACCTTCTTTCTTTCTCTCTCTCTCTCTTTCTTTTTTGGAGACAGGACTCTGATCCTCTTCTATCAAGCCTCTAAAAGGCTAAGACTATATGTGTGTGTCTGGCTTGTTTTAATCTTTGAATAAAAGTTACAAGGATATATAGCATGGGTTACAAGAGATAGCTCAGTGTTTAGAGCACTGGCTACTCTTCTAGAGGACCTGGGTTCAATTCCCAGCCCCACACAGACACTCACAACCACCTGTCATTCTAGTTCCAGGAGATCTGATGCCTTCTTCTGACCGCAATGGGCACCAAGCACATACACATTCATGCTGGGAAACATTTATATGCATAAAATAAAAATAAATAAATCTTTAAAAAACCTACATAGACTAATTAAATACTGATGATGAATCACTAGCATCTATGACTTCTTGCTTTGATTTCATTTCCCTCTTATTCAGCTTCCTTTATTTTTATTTTTTTCTTTTTTAAGACAGTCTTACTCTGTAGTCCATGTTGGCCTAGAACTCTAATGTAGCCCAGATTAGCCATAAATGTATGGCAATCCTATTTTACCACCTCCCCCAGGTGCTAGGATTACAGTCATGTCCTCATGTTAAATAGATGCCCATGCTAAATAAATCATGCCCAGCCAAATAGAGAATTTAAGAAACTCTTATGGAAGCTGGGCATGGTGGCAAAAATCTATAATCCTAGACCTGGAAGATGAAGTTAGGAAGATCATGAGTTCAAAGTCATTCTCAGCTACATAGTAAATTTGAGGCTAGCCTGGGCTAAATGAGGCTCTGATTCTACAAAATAAAACACAATAAAATATCAGAAAGGAAACTAAAAGTACAGATGATAAGGAATATATTGCAAAGTTCATCTTGGTATCTAGAAACTATAGACCCTGAAGTCTTTGTAAAACTTGGACCAGGCCTAAGTAAAAATATTTTTAATAGAGGAATTTGTAGCAGGACATTGGTGGCACACGTCTGTAATTCCAGCACTCTGGGAGGCAGAGGCAGGCCTAGTGTACAGAGCAAGTTCCAGGACAGCTTCCAAAACATTACAGAGAAACCCTGTCTTGAAAAACAAAAAACAAAAGAAGAAGAAGAAGAAAAAAAAGAACTTTGTAACTATGTACTTATAAAGAAAAAAATTTCAAAACTTGTCTCAAAATTTTAAATCAATTCCAACCACATCTGATGTAGCTTCACGTAAAGCTAAGATTTCTTTGAACTACTGGTCCTCTTGCCTTCCTTTCTAAGTACTGGGACTAAGGCATGAGCCAACAGGCTGAGTTAGAGCTACAGATTTTATTGTTCTATATACACATCTCCCTTATTTGTGTATGTGTGTGCAGGTGTGTACTCACACACAAGCATGTGAAAACCAGAGGAAAACAATGCTGTCTTCCTCTATTGTCCTCTGCCTTATTCCCATCAGACAGGGTCTTTTCCTGAACCTGACTTTGTCATTTCAATTAGGATAGCTAGCCATGGAGCACCTAGGATCCACCTGTCTCCAATACTCAACAGTTAGGGTTACAGGCACTGAAATCATGCCTGTCTTTTATGGAGGAACTCGAGTTTGAACTCCACATTTTACATATGCAAAGCAATCATGCTTACCCCCTGAATCATGTCCCTAGACCCCTAAAAGCAGATGTCGAAATCTCATGCTCAATGTTAAGGCAAACACTAAAAATTAAATTAGTGAAACAACAACAAAAAGGCAAAGGTCATAGCTTGTATGAAACAAAAACAAACTGAGTTTCTGAATCTAGGGAAAAATACACCCTAGTTGACATTTCCTTTCTCCTCACAGTATAATTTGAACAAAGGCTAATAAAAAGTACCTTCCTTTGTTAGATTTGGTGGCACACATCTGTAATCCTCACACTTGGGAGGAGGATCAAGAGTTCCAAGTCATCCTCAGCTACATAGCTGAGAACAGTCACAATACATGAAACCCGTTTCACAAAACAAATCAAAAACAATACAATACAACAAAATCAGAACAGGACAACACGAGGGTTGAGAGGTAGAATTAGTTGACAATTATGTGTGAGATCATGGTTCAACCCTGACACCACACAAAAAGTACTTTATTACTACCTGTTTTCACATAAATTCAAGCAATAAATTAGAATAAAACCTAAGGAATTCCAGGGACACTGCTCCATAAGCTGAGATAATGAACAAACTAATAGTCTCAAGCCAACCACAAAACACACACTTGTATATTTGCTAAGAATCTTCAATAAGAACATCTAAGAATTAGAGAAAAACAAACCTATTTCACTCATTTTAGTATTTCCATTTGTTTTGTATGCTGAATCTGTAAGAGAGACAGCAAGAAAATGATTAGAACTGAAAAGGAAAAGCAGCACACCGTCCTTTAACCACTAACTCAGACACTTACAGATCTTTATCATCTGAGGGAGTGGCTGAGATGCAACAGAGACCTAACAGAAAGGACCAGTAAGCAGAAAACAGAGTGCAAGTAGATCATATGGAATAACCTCACTAGTTTCCTTTCATGGTCTTCAACCCAATTTAAGGACTTCCAAAGTTTTAGTCAAAAGGAAATTAGTTGAGGCAGCAACATGTTATGGCTCCATGCCACAAAGCCTTTGTCTTGAATCTTTTATGAGTAATATACTGAGAAGACTAAAAAGTCTCCATCCTTAATTTGAAGGCATCAAGGAAGCATGAAAGAATCATAGCACCATGTAAGGAATAATCTTTCAAAAACAACGCAGAGGCCTTTTATATACACCAACAGGGAAAGATCTCTTGACACATGTGAAATGAAGTGGAAACAAACAACAAGAAATGAAGAAGAATATTCATTGATCCAAGCTGTACGTTTAAAAAGGGAGACCAACAGTAGATAGGACTCTGGTGGAAAGCTTGCCTAGTATGTGCAAGGCTGTGGGTCCAAGCCTCAGCAGTGTCAAAAAGATGCAGGTGAAAAATAAGTATCTCTGGAAATATAAGCAGACATGGGTCACTTCTAATGTTAAGGCAGGGTGGACAGAAGACAATGAATGCAGAAAGACTTCATTAGTCTCACGTAGCTCAGGCTGATCTTAAACTCTCTGTAGCCAAGATGACCCTGGCCTCCTGATCCCCCTGCCTCTACCTCCAAAGTTCTAGGACTAAAGTATGCACCACCATGCTGGGCTAAGTTTTGCTCCATATGAATACAAGTCTCCTCTAGAAATAACACTCTATTTATAAGAAAGAGTTAAAACAAAGCAATCTCTTACCAATTCTTGGGCTTCTTAGTGGGGGTCTGCACAAGTTACTTATAGGGTCTTCACTCATCACTAGTACAGGAAGAGAAAACAAAAGTGAAACTTAAGATTTAGTATGCAATCATCTTCATTTGGTCAAGAAAAGTTCCCAAACTTTGGTCAAGAAAGGTTCCCAAACTCTGATTGTGATAGAGAACTAAAGGCAAATTTCTCTAGGGGATGGCCTCTTGTGAACTACTAACAACAGTAAACTAGAGTGAACTTACCTGCTCTACAGAATGTATAGTCTTGAAAAAAAATGGACATTTTTCTCAGTAGACCATATTGTTCAAAAGAAGAGGATTAGTAAATAAAATTCTTTTAAATTACTGAAGCAAGCCATGATGGTTCATGTATATGCCTATAATTCTTACATATGGGAGGTAGAGGTAGGAGGATCAGGAGTTTGATGCTAAGTTACTCTCTGCCACCTAGTGGGTTTGAGTACTAGTTTAGACTACATGAGGCCCTTGCCCCAAAACCCAAAAATTATTAGTAACCAAATTCTGGAACCAGAGATGTAGTTTCTCCAGCCAGTATTAGAACCTGGGTTCAATCCTCAATATGTCAAAGCAGGGAGGGGTGGAGGCCTTATACTGAAGGAATTCTCCTGCCTTGGCCTTTCAAATGCTATATCACACTTTGTGATATATACTTGTGATAGTTTTAGAGTTAACAAACTCTCTAACTATTTAATCATATATATAGGAAATGGAAAGACTAACTTTAAATAAAAAATTAAATGCTGGCCATGTTTCATTTCAAATGATCTGAGTTCAAAGGTATAGGGTTTGTAATAAAGCCATTTAAAACACACTGGTTTTTAGTCATGAAAATTATGTATGAAGATATATTTTCTTAGGCCAGTGGGATGGCTCCATAGGTAAAGGCACTTGCTGCCAAATTTGACAATCTAAGTTCAATACCCATAATCACATTAAGATGGAAGAGAATCTACTTCACAAGGTTTTCCTCTGACTTCCACAAATGTACAGTGGCACCTACACACATCATAGACACATGAGAATTAAAAAAGAAAACACAGGCCAGGTGTTGGTGGTGCACGCCTTTAATCCCAGCACTCAGGAGGCAGAGACAGGTGAATCTCTGTGAGCTCGAGGCCGGGCTGGACCGATAAGCCTCCAAAACAACACAGAGAAACCTGTCTCGTAAAAACCCAAAAAAAAAAAAAAAAAAAGAAAACGCAGCCATGTGGTGGTGGTGCATGCCTTAGTCCCAGCACTCTGGAGGCAGAGGCAGTCAGATCTCTGCGAGTTCGAGACCAGCCTGGTCTGCAAGAGCTAGTTCCAGGACTCCAAAGCCAAAGAGAAATAAATTTAAAAAAAAAGATTAATTCAGACTCCATGAATGTAGTGTAAGTGAGGAGGCCTCAGAAATCTCTGGGGCCTTGGGTCGTAGATCAGTGTTTATCATGGCATGCGAATGAACTTTGGGAGCCCATTCCACATGGAGGGATGCTCTCTCAGCCTGGACACATGGGGAAGGATGTGGGGATTGGGTCGGAGGCTGGGGGGGATGGATTGGTGGAGGAGCAAGGGAGGAGAGGTGGGAGAGGGAGCTGGGATTGACATGTGAAGCATGCATGTTTCTAATTTAAATAAAAACATACTGAGGAAAGAAAACAAAAAACACATCAGTGAACTATTAAATGTAACCCATTTCCCTTTTATAGTGATTCTATGACAAATTTTCTTTACTACATTTTAAACATCTCTGAAATCATCTATTATATAATTACCATAAATTACCCAGAAATTGGCAGTATTTTTTTTTTCTTCTTAGGTGGTACATGAAAAAATGATGCCACACCTTACAACTGATACCTTGGATTTAATGAAACAGTAATAAGCTGACAGAATTGAAACTCTCTATTCCAGAGTTTTTGCATGCATAAACAGCTAAGCAGAAGTCACTGTGATGTAACCATTTGACACTTTATGAGTGATTACCTGAGAGTGAAAGTGAAGAAGATCTGGGGAAAATGAAAAGATTTAAGATAGTCAACGTTGAGTCTGAATTTTAGTTTAGTCATGTATCATGTGATCTTAGAGAAGAATCTTAGACACTCTGAGCTCCAGTTTTCTGTCTATTAAGAGGGGCAGAGTACTTGCATGCAAGGTTATGAAGAGTAACAAATACAAAGTAGCTGATAGTTGAACTCACTCTGTGGTTCACCCTTGCATGTCCTTGAAGTACCCACATGGCTTAATTTAGTGAACTGATTAAAAAAAAAAGACTCACAAGACTCTAAAATGATGAGCCCTTGGCAGGTACAGTGAAAAACAAAAACAAAGTTTTCTTACTTGAAGCATCTGGTGTTCTGACAGTTTTCCTTGAGGCTGTTTGGCTTGTAACAGTTTGGGAAGAAGAAGGTTCGTCCTCTACAGAAATGATGAGAGATAAAACTTACGTTAGATGATCTGGGAGAAATTAAGGCAGACAGTATGCATATTCAACAGTAATCTATAAATAGTTTCTCTAGGCTCAAAACTCGGGAATTAAATTAGAATTCTTATTGAGACACAGGAAATGAGGTCTGGTTAAGAGCATTCGCTGCTCTTTCAGAACACTGGAAATATCAGCACGATAGTCCAAGTGTCTCACAGTAGCCTGTAACTTCAACTCCAGGGGACCTGATGTCATCTTCTGGCTTCCAAGAGTAACTGTTCACACATGTGCATCTACTCACACAGATACATGTAACTGCACAGACACACATATAAATAAAACAGAATATAAACTATTGTTGCTTTACAACAAAAAATGTTACTTTAGAAAGTTAAAAAAAAAAGATGGGTTCAAGATTCAAAATTGATGTGGATTAAGTAGGTAAAAGAAATGTTTAAATTCTTTAAAAAAAAAAGTTCCAAAGGTAAATTTATTTAAGTGCAGGAGGCTCTGTGGTAGTCAATAAAAAGTAACACAGTTACATTGCCTCCTGTGGGCAACGCACAGTCTCAGATTTGAAAGCCCAGTCTCAGATTTGAAATAGAATTAAAGTATCTAAATTACTACCAGGCATACATAACAGGCTCTTGTTTTTCAAAAAGTTTATCTTACAAGAAATATTACTAACATATATACAGAACAAACTGTTTTGTTGCATTCAAAAGAATGTGCACATACCTAGCATAAACTTTCCAAAATCAACAGGTCTTCAAGAGTGTCAGGATTTTAGGGGCAAGCAGGTAAACCTGCAAGCCGCTTATTGTGCTCCAAGCTGAGCATTCACTCCTTTTTTAGATGTATCAATGTCTCTCATTAGCCATGTCATTCCATTGTGACTCAAACCCTCCAGATTTTACCTCACAGTTAGGTGATTTACAACGGGGCTTACTGGGAATCACCTGCGACTCAGTTATATTCGAGAAATTTGATACACTTGTCACTCACTGTCGGCAGTTGGGGGTTCATGTAGAAGAAGCTTTCTTAATGAACAGACCCTAGTTTTGTTTAGGTACTTTGTCACCCTTGATTTGTATAAGTACTTGAGGTTACAGAGACGGCCTTCAACCAGGGGAAAAGTTGGGCAGAGACCACCACACCTTATGCATATGGAGTAAGGTCACAAGCCAGTTCATTAAAGTCGGCTATCCTTGGTGGCATCATAGAAAACAGCTCTTTCCCCCAGTTTTGGTGGGAAGAGGAATCGCCTGGAAAATTAACTTAAAACCATGATTCTCAGTTGGGGACTTGGCGACCCCGAGATTTAAAAAAAAAAAAGGAAATGGAAGTGGCTTCGGTAGAAGCCTTCTCAAAGAGGACGGAAATGAAACCGAGCCTTGAGTAATTTTGGAGTTCCGAATCGCCGACGCTAGCAAAACCCTGCAGAAAGAGGCCACCTAGACTGCCCTACACTGACGCTCGGAGATGGGCAAAGCTCCCCGCATCGGCTCGGGTCACTTGGCACCACCATCTTCCCGCGGGTCGGTGCGTCCTTTCCTTCTTAGGGTCCGGGTGGACTCAGGCCGGAGTGCGCGCCCATAGGGCCGGGGAAACGGGGCCGGACTCCACAGGGGCGCTCCTCCCGCCGCCCGCGCCCGCCACTGCGCGCGCCCGGGAGCCGGCAGCTGAGACTGTTACCTCCGCTGTCCTCACCTGAGGATTGAGAGTTCCGTAACCCTCGCCTGCTCGTAGCCGGCGACAGCTGCGGTTGAGGCTGCTGTGAGGTCTGCTCCATCCGGGCAGACCTTCGGGTCTTCATCTCCTCGGCTTCCTGGGGTCCCCGCCGCCTCCGTGGTCGAGAACGAAGGTTGTAAGCGCTTTCTCTCACTTCCTCCTTCGCAGAATTCGGCCGGAACTTTTCTGGCGGGGTTCGTCTTCCCCCCGGGGACCTTTCTTTGGTCACCCGGGGCTCGAAGTCGCCGTACACTTCTGGCGGCTCTTCTGAAAACCTCACTTCCCGTCGTCCGTGGCGCGACGGATGAGTTCCGTAGGCAGCCGCGTCACTGTCGCCATTTTGAGGGGCGAGCCTCCGCCTTGGTTCCCGGATGGGGGCTCTGGGCGTGACGTCGATGGCCCATCCTCCCAACGCCTGGGTCAGCCGCCTCTCTCCCTCCATAGTTGTTTACGTAGCTGTTAGTCCGTATCGGAGATGGCTTTGCCGCGGTTAGATTCCCCTGCAGGTGGCGGCGATGGCTTCGGGGGAGTTGTTGTGGTCAGGGAGGTAGTTGAGAGTCGCCGCGGCCTCCGCCTTCGTCGTCGCTAGTGTGCCACAAACCAGCCTCTGGGCCCATGGTGTGTCCTGAGGGCTGTGGAAGAGGCAGTGCCCGAGCTTGGTCAGCTGCTATGGGTCACCCCCGCCTCCTGGCTGGAGGCACCAAAGAGGAGGAGAAGGGGGAGGAGGACGTCGCTGTCCTTGGCCTTAAGGAGACGGGAGGTGGTAAAACAAATGGCCTGTGCCAACTGCCGGTGTCCAGTTGCCCACCACAGGAGGCGCTTGCTGGTCCCGGGTCCCAGAGGCTCTGGCAAAGGGCGAGTTTCAGTTCTTGATCCCAAGCTGTTGCGCAGTTTTCCTGATAACTTTGACCACTCCTTTTCTAATGATCAGAGATATTTTTGCACGTCATCCTATAGCGAAAGTTGTAGTTTTAAGAGCCGTATAAAGGCGCTTACCCAATTTAAACTTTTTGAATGAGCCCCTTAAAATCGCGTTGAAGTGTATAAGTTTAGGCAAACTTAAGGAAGGCCAATTTACTTGCAAAGTCTGAGTTACTATTGAGAGAAAAACCTGCTACAGTCTAGTACATAGCACGTCTTCTTGGAGAACTTTCTATGATATAAATAAATAGACCCCCCCACACACTCCCACAAGTACTGGACAAGTGATTTACCAATAAGCTATATCGTTAGCCCTAAAAGAATCAATTTATAAGTTTTTATATGGAAGCCAGTTAACAATGGTTTTGAAAAAAATGTTTTACAGTATTTTAACTAATGACCTTAAATTGTTGCTCAAACTTATACATATTATTCCCAGTTACTGAAATTTTCACTAATAGTCCATAAATTTGGTCAGCAACACAAAGAATTGGATGATTTATAGTCAGGCAGGATATACCCTATTTGGAGCTTCGTTTAGCTCTGTTTATTTTATTTTATTTTTTGGTTTTACGAGACAGGGTTTCTCTGTATTGTTCTGGAGGCTGTCGGTCCAACCCGGCCTCGAACTAACAGCGATCCGCCTGCCTCTGCCTCCCAAGTGCTGGGATTAAAGGCGTGTGCCACCACCGCCCGGCTAGCTCTGTTTATTATATACAAAGGAATATAGCCAGAGAAACTAGAGGGATTGTAACAAGACAGCTGCCCTCTTTTTTTTCCCCTGAGACTGTGTGTGTGTGTCCCATTATGGATTTCTGCCTGTCCTGGAACTCACTATGTAGACCAGACTGGCCCCGAGCTTACAGATCCACCTGCCTCTGCTCCCCACCCCCAAAGTGCTAGGACTAAAGTTGTGGACACTATACCTGGCCCCACTTCTCTTTTTAAAATCTGTTTAAGGAAAACGAAAGTGATACTCATTCATGGCAGCTAGGAAAATTTGTGAGATTTTTTCCTAATATCTGTCTTGTGTGTTTTTCAGTAATGCTTTCTTTGTAAAATGACTATTTAAACAATTAACAATCACAAAAATTCTTTAATAGATTTACAGCATTGAAAGGATGTAAATTTTATAGTGTTAGTATTCTAAGATCATATTATGCTCTGTGTGTGTGTAAAGAGCCTCTTTAAAACATTTACTACAACAGATGACTAAAGAAATCTGGGTGCTGGCTTGTAAAACTCTGGTTTGAAGGATGCATTGAAAAAGAAAGTGAAAGGCAGGCGGATCTTTGTCAGTTTGAGGCCACCCTGGTCTACAGACCAGGTTCCAGGACAGCCTCCAAAACAATACAGAGAAACCCTGTCTCAAAAAAAAAAAAAAAGAAAGAAAGAAAGAAAGAAAGTGAAGAGGTTCTATACATTATTGTCAGAGAAAATGAGAGGTTACAGAGATTATTGGGTATTGGCATGTATGTTATTTTGTAATAAAAAGTGCTTATAAAAGGCTTACGAATGATTTTTTTTTTAAAGAAAGCTGTGACAAGGAAATGAATGGCTATTTCAAAGAAAAAATAATGAGAATGCTAAAGTTTAGAGGCAGGTAACTTTAACATTAACATATATTTGCTTAGAATTTCCCTCTTGTCTAGGTTATAGGAATGCATCATCTTAACTCTGGTGGCTGCCACCCACACCTAGCAACTTTGCAAACACCAAACTTTGATTACTGTGAGTTAAAGCCAACGTCTTGTCAAACCAGATATTCTGCTGTAGAGGTTTTCCAATCTCTTTTGGGCTACTCTTTCATACTAAAAGAGGTAACATTATAGACAGTAGACTCATTTCCAGTATTAAAAGAAAATTTCTAGCCGGGCGTTGGTGGCACACACCTTTAATCCCAGCACTCGGGAGGCAGAGGCAGGCAGATCTCTGTGAGTTCCAGGCCAGCCTGGGTCTGATGTGGCAATCTGAACTTTGAACTTGAACTTTAAACATTCCTTCAGGAATTTGAGAAATGTGAAATGATGAAGAATTTTACAGAGAATTTGTCATATGTTAGAGAAGACAGATACACAAAAAATGAAATTAATAACTGGTATTAACTCATGTTTAACTAACAGAGCTGTACCTAGAAATCATGTGCTCTTTATGTTGACTTTTGGGGTTTTTTTTTTTTTTTTTTTGGTTTTTTCGAGACAGGGTTTCTCTGTGGCTTTGGAGGCTGTCCTGAAGCTAGCTCTTGTAGACCAGGCTGGCCTCGAACTCACAGAGATCCGCCTGCCTCTGCCTCCCAAGTGCTGGGATTAAAGGCGTGCGCCACCAACGCCCGGCTGACTTTTGGGTTTTTTTGTTTTGTTGTTGTTGTTTTGTTTTTTTGAGACAGGGTATCTCTGTGAAACAGTCCTGGCTGTCCTGGAACTTACTCAGTAGACCAGGCTGGCCTCAAACTCACAAAGATTCGACTGCCTCTGTCTCCCGAGTGTTGGGATTATAGTAATCCACCACCACAACCTGGCATGTTGACTTTTTAATTTAAGCAACTTTTAAGTAAAACAAAAGAATTTGTGCATTGGTCTTTTGCCTGCATGTATGTATACCTGTGTACCATTCGTGTGCCTGGTACCTATGGAGGCCAGAGGAGGGCATTTGATCTCCTGGAATTAGAGTTAGCAGACAGTTGATAGCCACTATATGGATGGATGCTGGAAATCAAATCTCTATCCTCTGGAAGAGCAATCAGTGTTCTTCAACTGTTTTAAATGCAAGTATTTTATTGAGGAGGGCCTCTTAAAACAGGATCTGATGTAGTCTAGTCAGGCCTAGAACTCACTATAAAGCTGAGGAGTGGTGATATTTTGCTTATGATCTAATAAAGCTTCGATCAGAATGCAGAGCTAACCCACACCTAGTAAAGGGCTAAGCCAACTAGTTAGCCACACACTAGTTAGTCATAAAGGACAGGCAGTGGTGGCCACACCTTTAATCGAAGAACTTGGGAGACAGAGGCAGATGGATCTTTATGAGTTCAAGGCCATCCTGGACTACATGAGTGAATCAGTCTAAAGGAAAAACAGAGCTCACACCTTTAATCCTAGCACTAGAGAGAATGTAAAGCAGGAGCTCAGTGCAGTCTCATTGAGCAGTCTGCAGTCACTCTGAGATCTTAGCCTTGGTAAAAAAAAAAAAAAAAAACTCTTTAGTGGCTGGCCACTTTGGGTTTCTGATCTTCAGCTTGAACTCCAATATCTGTCTCTGGGTTTTTATTAATCTTGCTAAACTGAAGCTGGCCTTGAACTCCTGATTCTCTTACTCTAATCTTCCAAGTGCTAGATATATGTCACCATGCCTGGCAAATCATTTAAAATATTCTTTTTAATTATTGAAAGAGTGTGGGGTGGCTGGAGAGATTGCTCAGATATTAAGAGTGCTTACTGTCCTTGCTGTTCTTATTTCCATCATCAACAACGTGTAATTCCAGTTTTAGGTGATCTGATACCCTCTATTGGTGTCCTGAGCTCCTGCAAGAACATGGTTCACATTAACTCCCATAGGCATACATGTACATGTACACACATATATAAATAAAATCTTTCTTTGCAGAAGCAGGAGGATCTCTGAGTCCGGGGCCAGCCTGGTTTACAGATTGAGTTCCAGGACAGCCAGAGCTACACACACAGAAACCCTGTCTCAAACAACAAAACAAAAAGATGTGATGGCACATAACTTTAATCCTAGCACTATGAAAGAGGAGGGAGTTTCATAAGGTGAATCTCTGAGGGTTTGAGGCTAGCCTGGTCTACATAGCGAATTTAGTTTACATAGTAAAACCTTGGGGTTTTTTGTTTTTTTTTTTCCAGACAGGGTTTCACCATGTAACAGCCTTGGTTCTCCTGGAGCTAGCTCTGTAGACCAGGCTGGCCTTGAACTCATAGAAATCAACTTGCCTCTACCTCCTGAGTGCTTTGATTGAAGGTGTGGGCCACCATTGCCCAGCTAGTAAAACCTTGATTTTCATTGTTATTGTTGTTTGTTTAAAAACTGGGAAGGCAGAGGCAGGCAGATCTATGGGAGTTCCAGGCCAACCTGGTTGGTCTACAAAGCAAGTTTCAGGACAGCCAAAGGTACACAGAGAAGCCCTTTCTCGAAAAACAAACAACAAAAAATGGACATGGTAGTACATACGTGGAGTCCCGGCACTGTATCTACAGACTCTGAGTTCCAGGCCAGCCAGGTCTACATAGTTAGCTCCAGGCCAGCCAGAGTTACATGGTGAGGCCCTATCTCAAAAAGTCAAATAAGGAAAAGATGAAAATACTATAAGTAAGCTATAAGTAAGTAAAAGTAGCTGGCTCCACTCATTCCCACCGAAAAATTTTAAAACTGTAAAAATGAAAGTGTAACTGGTTACACAGGCCTGTTTACCTCTATACAGGAAGAAGGATCCTGAGTTTAAGCTGAGCCTTAGAATGAGTTCCAGATAAGTCTGGGCAACTCAAACCATGTCTTAAAGTTAAAACTCAAAGATCTGCCTAC